ATATATATATATATATATATATATATATATATATTGTAATGAACTAATAAAAAGATTGACCTCTTGATTAAGGCTTTATTTAAGAATAATTTTACTAATCTAATGATACAAGAAAATAGACACATATATAAAACAAATAGTTCAATAACAAAAAATAGAAAACACAACAATCTTCCCATCTATGTAGAAAAAGGCCCATAAACTAGTTTTGTCATTTTAAAATATAGTCATCATGTTTTACAGGAGCTTTACAAGCTCTGGCAGAGCGTCGTAATACATCAGCAAATGGCTCAGTTACTGGCTCATCTACCCTAACTCTAATTTACGATGCAATTTTAGGTGAGGGGTCTTTATTTACATCAAGTACTTTCGCAGTTACATTCTCACTAGACTCATTGATACTATTCTAATTGATATCATTAAACTTTTCTTTTGGGGCAGGATACAGTGCAAGATCTTGAAGTGAAACAGTTGACTCTCGTCCATCAGGGTAACGAATATTAGCATATGTTGGATTTACATCCACTAATTCAACCTTATCCACGAGATTATCGTTTTTGTTTGTACGCACAAAATGTCTTAGAAAAATTGGGCCAGGAGTTAACCATAAGGGTAACGAAGTTCCGGATGACGAGCGCCTAAGAAAACTGAATAACCTCTCATGAGGTGTACAATTAGTTGCAGTTGAAAGTAGCGAACGGAGTGAGTGGAGAGCGTCTGATAGAACAATTTCCCAATTTCTAACATCTAGGTTGTGGGTTTTTAGTGCCAAACAAATATTTTTCCAGATCAAGCCATTATATCTCTCAACTTGTCCATTACTGATAGGATGATATGGGGTAGAATTACTTGTTGCAATTCCTTTCTGAGTAAGGTAAGATTTTATTCATTAGATATGAAAGATAAGCCTCTGTCGGAATGAATGTACGTTGGAAAACCACAAAAGGAGAATATTTGATCTAAACACTTCACAACAGTTGTTGAACTAATATCAGGACATGGGAAAGCAAATGGATACCAAGAATATTCATCAATAACTGTAAACAGATATTTATTTCTAGAATTAGACGGCAATGGTCCTTTAAAATCTATACTTAGGTGATCCATTGGGCGTATTGACTTGATTAACTCACAGACATTTGAGGATCGATAAAACTTTGATTTTAATTCTGAACAAATCTGGCAGTTAGAACAAACTCTCTTGACCTCTTCTGTAGAAAAAGGTAAATTTTTAGATTTAACAAAGTGAAGCATACGAGTAACCCCTGGGTGACATAGACAGCTATGTATACCACTTAGGTTTGTTTGAGATTGGGTTGTAGCACAAAAAGCACGTGTGAGTGCATCAGGGACGATATTATCGTTTCCAGGATGATACAATATAGTATAACTAAACTCTGCTAACTCCATCCTCCAGCACTGAATCTTACTATTTTTAATCTTTGTTTTCTATCGGTTATCAAACATAAAAGCTACAGAACGCTGATCAGTAATTAATTTAAATTGATTACGTAAAAGTAAATGTCGCCATTTTCGAACGGCTTCAATAATAGCCACAGCTTCTTTTTCTACTGATGGGTAATTGATTTCACTTTTGCCTAATGTTCGAGACATAAAGGCAACGGGACGACCATTTTGATTCAAGGTAGCTGATACGGCTACATGATGCATCACATTCAACAACAAAAAGTAAGCTCTCATCAATAGAACTCAAAGTGGCAGCATGAAGTTCTCTTTTAAGAAATTGAAATGCTTCAAGTGCCTCACTATTGATAGGAAAGAATTTAACATTAATTAAAGGCCGAACTTTATTAACAAACGAAGGTATCCACTTTGAATAGTAAGAGAACATACCCAAAGTTCGCCGAAGTGATAAAATGTTAGAAGGAGGAGGTAGTAAGTCTAAAGGACGTAATCGCTCAGAATCTGGTTTTATGTTGTTATGACTAATGCAATAACCAAGAATGTTTATAGAAGAAGCTGAAATAACCGATTTTGATTCATTTAAAGTTAGACCCCAACGTTGTGAAGTGTCTTAAAACAGCAGACAATTTTTATCATGATGTGCCTGATCATAACCACCAATGGTTATATTGTCAAGATATGGAAAAGTGTCATGTAACTTTTCTTCTTCAACAAACTTGTCCATAGACCTTTGGAACATAGACACACCATTAGTAACTCCAAATGGAATCCTGCAAAATTGAAATAGTTTCCCATTTGCCTCAAATGCTGTATACTTTTTGTCTGAATTTTAAATAGGGATTTGGTGGTAAGCACTTTTCAAGTCAAATGTAGAGAATACTTTGTACTTTGCAAGTCCATTTATCATGTCATCTATTCTGGGAAGAGGATATGCATCTAACTCAGTGTGAAGGTTGACTGTTTGAGAGTAATCAATACAAAGTCTTTTTTTGTTAGATTTAGTAAGATCCTTTACGACCACTACCTGGGCTCTCCATGGTGAGAAACATGACTCAATTATACCATCTGATAATAACTGTAATATTTCACTTTCAATAAAGTTACGATCATCATTATTTTATCTTCTTGATTTTGTAGCTTTTGGCTGAGTTTTGTCTGAAATGCTTGTAAACAAGGATGGTATTTTTATTTTTGCCATTTGCAGTGCACATTGGTTACTTTCCTTTGTGACAATTAAGTCTTCTTTTTCTCCACCGAGTGGGAATATTAAATTTTTGTGTAGTTTTTGGAAGTCGTAACCAAATATGATATCACTACAAAGATTTTCTAAGACACCAAATAGAACATTATTATAAAATAAACCATTTACTTTAAAATTAACTGAACAACAGCCCACTAATCCAGACTCCATTGTTGTGAAGGCCATCAAAATTTTCTTTTTACTGGGTAACATTTTAATTTTTAAAGTCTCAATAATTTTCTTGCTTATAAAATTATCTGAGCTACAGGAATCGATTAGTGCAGTTAACGGTTCATCATTAATTCTGACAATAACAGCTGCATGAGAGAGGCTCAATGGACAACCACTTGAAACAGTACACAAACTTGGTTTATGTATTGCAGCTGAAACACTGTGGGTTATATTCATCGGCCTGCCAAGACAAACTTTGGAAAAATGGCCTTTTTTCCACATTTAAAACAGGTTACATTTTGAGCTGGACAATTTTCCTAGCAGAGGTTTGATTACATTGGTTGTGAGATGGATTACCACAATAAATGCATTTTGTTTGAGGATTAGTAGTCATAGCATTGAGTGCTGCTGAGGGTTCTTCTGGTAATTTTATAGCGGCAGCAATATTTAAATTGGAGGAAAAGGAGGATGTTTTCTGCATATAAGAATCTGAGTTTCTTTGTGCAATGTCAAGAGAACGAGCTTGGTTAAATGCTGATTGCAAATTCCAAATGATGTCTTATAAGTAATTGATGCCTTGCAAAAATTTCATTAGGGGTTTTTATATATAAGTTTTCTAGGGTTTCAATTATACTTTCATAGGAATCACACTCTTCAATGTAATCATAAACATTTGATGAAACAAAATTAATGGTGGAGCGAAATTTGTCTGGAGCATCCTCTCCACAATCCTAAATGAAATTTTAAATTCGTTTCCAATGTTTTTGAAGCAGTTGGTGCATTATGATCAAGATCAAGCCTCGTTGGCTTTAAGATCTTTGACATTTCCCAATAATTTTATATGTTTGTTAAATAAATTATAATGAACTAATAAAAAGATAAACCTCTTGATTAAGGCTTTATTTAACAATAATTGTACTAATCTAAAGATACAAGAAAATAGACACATATATAAAACAAATAGTTCAATAAAAAAAATAGAAAACACAACATATATATATATATATATATATATATATATATATATATATATATATATATATATATATATATATATATATATATACAAATATATATTATGTAGACACAATGCTTAGATGCTGGCTTTTACTTTCAATCTTTAAACTAAATATTAACCAAATTTCCCAAAATTTATTATTCATGCTTAAATACAAACTTGGACTAGTCCTGTCTCTTTTTTAGATCAATTTAACTGTAACAGATATATAACAGTGTATAACAAGAGCAACAGGCAACTTCACATTGCCTAAAAGATCAACAAAGTTTTCACGGAATTCTATTACCTACCGGGGTCCGTACCTATATAACAAAATAATATCCAAAATTATATAATTAAACTATTAAATAATCCTGCCACCTTGAAAAATAAATTAAAACACCTTATACTTAATATCAGCAATTATGTCGACATGTATTAAATTTAACAACAAAATTTATACTAAAATATTTTTGTGTATTACTGACAGTATATTATTTAACCACTTTGACTATATATAAAAATGAATTAAACTTAATTTACCCTTTTAAAGAGGTACTCGATAATAAGTCTTCATAGACTTCTACATGTATATATCTGCAGTAATAAAAAATTTCTTATCTTTTTTTTCTTTCTTATTTTTATTTTAAAAACACTGGTAGTTTTTATGATAGGATACATTAATTTATGTTATACTTAGATAAACTTGTTAAACCACTTTTTGTTGTTACATTATTCGTGGTATAATTATGTTACATTTTGTATGTTGCATTATATTATATCATATAATTGTAACCTAACAACGTGTAAATTTATTGAAGTTGTTAAAAAAAAAAATCTTGAAGGTAAAAAATTGCATAAGTATAATTCTCCTTCCAGACAGATTTTTATTAACAAATCCGGCAAATCCGGTTCCAACCGGAATGCAAAATTTCTGATTCGATACACCCCTAGAGTATATACTTATTTAGTTTTGAGCATATCAAAAATAGAAGAATTATTATGTAGTTTAAATTTGCTGGTGCATCAACATTTTAATGGTCTTAATAAACTGCATTCCTGTGTAAATACCCTGACAATTTTTGGTAAAATTTAAACAATAAAAAAGTTTAAAAAACTTTTATCAATTATCTTTGATTAATTGTATTTACTTTTACTTTTCTCTAGGATATTTTATTAGAGAAATTAAACAAATTACTTGCTTCTGTTTATTCACAAAGTATTACAAGGTAACAAAAAAATTTAGTTAAAATAGTATATAAATAATAATTGATTTATATAAAATACTTGTAATATATAGTGAAAAAATATATTTAAAATATATTGATTGTAGGTTTAAATCATTATATTTCAACCATTTTTGAGAAAACTTTGTAAGGCATCATCTCAGATTTTGCTGATTTTTACATATCATTATCTACATCATGTAGATAGATTAAATTTGAAATTTCAGACTTCCAAGTGCAACGGTTCAGAAGAAGATATAGCTTTATAAACACTAAAAAATAATAAAAATATATATCAGCATTTATTAAAACTTTAAATAATAATGCAAGAAAATTCGAATAGATTAAATAAATATGATAAATGTAATAAATTTAAGAGAAACATTTACTTGGAGCTATCATGCCTCCATTTTTTTTCAGTATTAATAGATTTAGTCCTACTATTGCCATAACTTTAGGATTTTTGTTATGTTTATGTTAGGAATGGTGGTTTTCTAGATGTTGAGCATGAAAGAATATAATAATAAGGAATATAAATAAAAAAAGAAAGGATATAAATAGTTTTTTGACAATTTTTCTCTTGTGCTATTGTCTATTGTTTGATGACATAGAGCAAGTACAACATTTCTCAATGTTCTGAGAAACTATAAAATTATTTTTCAAACTTTAATTTGTAGCAGTAGAAACAGTTTGATTAAATGATACATATTTGATTATGTTTTTGATAGCTCCCATATCCGTCCCAAGAAAAGAAGCTGTAAATGGTGTTTTAAGTAACCATCTTTTGCAACAGTGAAAATGTCAATTCCACAAACTATGGGGAAATTTTAAATATTATTTATTTTAAATAATTTATTGTTCGATATTTTCATACACAAGGAAGCAATTTGCCATCAGGCAAAACAATCCAAGAAAATCCAATCAACGTTCTTGACTTGCGATTCATCTAATTTGAATCCCATCAAAAACTTAAGATAAAATTGATAGAAATCCCAAAAAAGAATTGAGGAAAGCCATATTAGAACTGTGATGCTATAAAATAACACCCAAATATTGTGAGCATTTTGTAACTAATGCCACAAAGAATAGAGGCTAACGAACTTGAAAAATCCTATACCAAGTTTTATACTTCTTTATTCTTTTATCTTTATGTATGTTGTTTTTAAATTAAATTTTTTTTGTTTTCTAGTAAGAAATACACTCTGTAGTACAACAAATTTTTCAAACAATTTTTTGCTATAAATATTGGGTGGTGATTTTTTTGGGACTTTAACCAGAAGTCTGATTATGCAATAGCTAGAGAAGCCTGAACAATCTACATAAAACTGGAAATACGAGTTGCCATTTTCCAGCAGGAAGGAAAACAAGACTGTGACAATTTTGTTCAGACAATTAACTGTAGAGAAATATAAGGGAGAAATAGCTTTACCAACAAAACGAGGATTTGGATGCATAACAGTAGATTAACCTGTTTCTTTAGAATAACAGGAAGAATTTGGTCAATAGATTCAATTAGAAGACAAGTTAGAAGAAAAATTCTTTGCAAATAGTTCTAGCTTATCCTTGAAAGAGGTAATAAGGTCAAATTTATAAATGAGATAAAAAATGTTAACTAGCCTTTGTTAATGAGATTATCAAATATTTTCCAAAAGTCTCTAGAATCTAACTTGTGCAATAAAATTTAAGATTTAGTAATCTGAAAATAATAGTTTTCATTTTCTGTAACTTCAAGGTTCTATCCTTGGCCCTATACTTTTTTAAATTTACATTATCGATCTCCAAGAAATTCTCACATCTATAGTGGCATTGTTCGCTGATGATACTATCATTTATTTTTGTCTTGATAAGAAGGCAACAGTCTCTGATTGCTTGGAGGGGGCATTTGAACTTGAATCGATTGTATAATTAGCATCTGCTAAGTTGCATCTCTTTATCTATATTCTTTATCTCTATAAATCTCAAATTTGTCCTTGTATGGAATACTGTTGCCATATATGGAACAGATCTTCAAATGCTGCTCTTTTAAAGTTGCAAAAACACATTTTAAACATAGTTGGACCTGCTCTTACATCTAACCATTGTCACATCATCATAATGTTGCTTTTCTTTCTTTTTTCTATACATACTTTAATGGGTGCTGCTCTAAAGAGCTAGTATCTCTTGTGACTTCTTATCTACTAAAATTCATTCTTGTGTTACTTGTCATTCAATTAAGTCTCATCCTTTTATTTTGACTGTTCCAAAGTGCTTAAAAAATTATTATTTAACTAGTTTTTTTTTCTCGAACTCTAATAGTGGTTACTTTCAGCCTTGTTGGAAGTGAAGATTTTAATGTATATATATATATATATATATATATATATATATATATATATATATATATATATATATATATATATATATATATATATATATATATATATATATATATATATATATATATATATATATATATATATATATATATATTTATATTTATATTAGGGTCATAAAATTTTTTTTAAAGTTGCTAACCTGGTTATGGTCTAGAAAGTTGTTTTTTATGTACTAATTTAGGAAAGTATTTACTTTTATGGATTGAACAATGTCTTCCACCCGCAACTTTAATTTCAAAAATTAGCAGGCCCTATTATTATTCAAAAAAAAAATTTTTCAAAATTATGTGATGTAAATACTCAAATAAAGCGAAATTTTATAGAAATTTCAAAAATAATAATTTATTAATATATAAAAATTATTATTTTAGATTTTATTGCATAATAACTATGGTTTTTTAACTAAAAGTGAAAAAAGTGCATTTTTTTATATGTTTTTCAAAGACAATTTTTTTGGGTAATTCGATTTTTATAAAACGATTATTATTATCGAATTTTTTATAAAATTTTTCTTGTTTGACTACCAGGTTAACCTACTTTAGAAAAACTTTTTTCTTTAAAATATTAGGATACCGGTAATTTTCCCAATAAATTTGCGTTCTTTAAATCTATCACAATCATTCTCATATTTGATAGTATCACTATTAATAACTGATCGCAATGTTTAGAGCCTGTAACAAGAATAAAAATTTTTATGACCCACCCTAATATATATATATATATATATATATATATATATATATATATATATATATATATATATATATATATATATATATATATATATGTATATATATATATATATATATATATATATATTAAAACTTAAAACAACATTTTTTGAAAGTGTCTGCATTTAACTCTTATATATGCTCTATATAATTAAAAGAAAATATCAAAAAAAATATTTTTAGGGGTATCTTAAGACCTTTAACATTAGTCAAGTCCCTAATATCAAAAAAAAAAAAAAAAAAGTTAAAAAGTGTTTTCAAAATAGCTAAGTTATGTAAAATTTCAAAATCTATCATGGTTTTAAAATAAACATTAAGGAAAAAAGTATATATATGTGTGTGTATATATATATATATATATATATATATATATATATATATATATATATATATATATATATATATATATATATATATATATATGAATATATGTATGTCCCCTCACAAAATCAGTAGGTCTTCCTTTTAAACACCAAAATGTTATTCAAAATCTATCCTCATATACGTTACATGGTGAACTCGATTTATTAAACAATGGTCTTGGTTGTGCTTTACTACCAGCATTTATAAAAAAAGACGGATGTATTCACTCAATTTGATTGTATTTTGCAATTTCTTAATAATCAACTGAAAATAATGAATCAAAACCTCAACTTAAAAGTGAACTTTCCCATTTGGCTAACAATTACGTAAACAAATACACTCCATCTGAAAATTGTCTGAGAAAACATAAAATATTAAAAAGACTTTAGAATAATGAGAACATTGTTATTACATGACCCGACAAAGGAAATGGTTTTAATAAAGTTGATTATATAAATTCATTACATAATATTATAAGTAATAAGACTAAGTTTAAAGAATTAAAAGAATTAAATCCTACTAGAAAAAGAGAAATATCTTTACAAGGGTATCTTAGAAAACTTTATAAGCTTAAATGTATTGAAAAAGACATTTATACTAAAATCTATCTTGTAGGCTTTCAATCTGCATGAATTTACGCGTTGCCTAAGATGCATAAAGTTAGTAAAGATAGTTCTCTTCCAACATTTCGACCAATCATCTCAACAATCTGAACATATAACTACAACCTTGCCAAAAATCTTTCTCATTTATTGTCTCCTCATATACCTAAACAATTTTGTACTTTAGACTCTTTTTTGTTGTTGAAGAATTAAAACAAACTAATGTAACTAATTAATCTATCGTTTCATATGATGTTGAAAGTTTGTTCACGATTATTCCACTTAAGGAAACCATCAACATAACAACTGATTTATTTTTTAAAGATAAAATTAACTCAAAACGTTTTTCAAAAATTCACTTTAAAAAATTACTTCAGTTTTCCACATCCGGTTCACATTTTCTATTTGACGGAAAATATTATGATCAAGCAGATGGTGTTGCTATGGGTTATCCTATAGCGCCCATATTAGCTAATACTTTTGTCGGATTTCATGAACAAACATGAGTCAATAACTGCTCCTTTACAGCACCATTATTTTATAAATTGTATGTATGAATATTTCAAACACACAATAAACAACATAAAAATTTGAAATTTACTATAGAAAAAGAACAAGATAACCAGATTTCTTTTTTAGATGTACTTCATCTAAAAAAGCCTAATCCAATTTATTTTTGATTTCAGTTTATCGCAAAAAAACATATACAGGTTTTTTACAAAATTTTTTAAGTTTTATTCCTTCTCGCTACAAATTTGGACTTGTTCGTTGTTTGATTGATCGTGCATTTAAAATTAATAATACTTGGGTTGGTTTTGATAAAGATATTAAGAATCTATCATTACTTTTACTAAATAATAAATTTTCACAAAAAATTATTGACTCTCAAATTAAATCCTATATTGATAAGAAAATGAACCTATCTGTTTCTAACATTGTTAATAGATTAAATATAAGAACTTTAAGCTTCCATACATTGGAATGTACTCTAATTATACTAAAATGAAAATTTCAAAAATTGTTCATAAATATTGCAAGGATGTATTAATAAAATTAATTTTCACTACTAATAAAATACAAGATTGTTTTTGCTTAGAGTCACTTCCTAAATTGCTTAAATCTCATGTTGTCTATAAATTTTCTTGCGCTGGCTGTAATGCCAGTTATATTGGAGAAACCTCCAGACATTTGGCAACTAGAATAAATGAGCACCTTAAAAGTGATAAACAATCTCATATATTTAAACACTTAAATTTATCTGTTAATTGCAAAAATCTGGCTAACTTGATTCTTTTGAGATTTTGGATAATGCCCCAACCAAACACAAATTAAAGATAAAAGAAGCCCTCCAAGTTAAATGGGAAAGTCCCTCACTTAATAAACAAACTTCACAATATGCTATAAACTTATCTATTTAATTTTACTGTCAGTTTATCATTATTATTAATTATTTTTTTTGACAGTTAGTTATTTTGATTGGTTATTTACCGAGTTATTTTTTTTTTTATTTTAATTCACCTCCTCAAGGCCGCGAAGGCCACTACAGACGAGGAGGCTACTTAATTATGGTTATAACCCTCTCTCAACTCTATAACTCCGAAACACGAACCTTGACGAGCAAGGCCGCTGCGCGGAGAAACGAGTTGAGCGCGGTACTACCAGGGACGTGGTGGGGATCGAACTCGGAACCACTCGTTTATGAAGCGAGCGCTCTACCACTACACCACTACCGCATTATGTAAATTTTTGTCTGTTATTATTTCTCTGTAAAGACTTCTATTTTTTAATATTTATTTCAGAGTTTTATTATTGTAAAAAAAATCTTTTGAAAATGTAAATGAAATTTTACTTATGTTAAAAACATCTTGTTATTTTTAAAAATAATATATATACATATATATATATATATATATATATATATATATATATATATATATATATATATATATATATATATATATATATATATATATATATATATATATATATATATATATATATATATATATATATATATATATATTTATATATATATACATTTATATATATATATATATATATTTATATATATATACATTTATATACATATATATATATATATATATATATTTATATATATATATATACATATATATATATATATATATATATATATATATATATATATATATTTGTTCAAAAGAAACATCACACCAGAAGATAATTTAGTTGTAAATTGTGAAGAGTCTTCTATGGAATTTGCTAATTTGACGCATCTTAACACTGAGTCATCATTGAACAGTTTACCATCGGTTTTTTATGATAGTTCTAACAATCCAGTAAAATTAACTTGTCTGCAAAACAAAAAAACTAAAACCCAAGTTAGAGAATCATTACATTTAAATGATATCATTTCGGCAAATAGTACAATTGATGCTAACAGTAATAAATTAAATGAAGAAAAAATACTTATAGAAGACAATATTTTAAATTTTGATGATAAAAATGATTTTTTTTTTGACGTTGAGTTTTGCAAAAACACTTGTCAGCAAAATAATGACATAGTTGACAATCCCAATCAAATTACCGTGGATCATATGCATAGAATGTTGAATAAAAATTCTCGACAAGCAACTTTAGATCTATGGAAAGGAGATGAACCTTTAGGGGAAGTATGCTTTTTTTATTTTTAAATCTTTTTTCTTTTATCTTGGAAACAATATCAGTTATGTTTTACTTTTAAAAATTATTTAAAATAACCAGCCAGCCAGTGTGTTGAAACCAAAATTATTACAGCAACATAACAACACAACACAACATAAAGTTCATAACAAGAATGATAAAAAAGAACATATAAAGGTGTTTTATTATTGTTGTTGTTATTATTATTGTTACTATTGTTGTTGTTATTGTTATTATTGTTAATAATATTATTATTTTTATTATTATTATTTTTAAAATGGCTTGTAGGATTCTTCAGTTTCTGCTTCAAACTCACTATCTCAAAAAACACTTCCTACCATGTCAAAAAAGCAAAAAGAAAACATTAAAGAAGTTTCATCAAATAAAATATTGAAGCGTGATCGTAAAATTGTAAATTTTTCATTTGAAGATATAAGTTTTAAAAGGTTTTTATATATAATTTAGTATTAAAATTAAATTATGTTATATCTATCAGGGATGTGAAGTTCCATCGATTTTTTGGGATTACGGGACTCTGGACTCACAGTTAAAAAATCATGGACTCCATGAACTCCGACTCTAGAATAATTTTTTTTTTTCTTTATTTAAATATCAACTCGTTTCTCCGCGCAGCGGCTTTGTTCGTCAAGGTTCGTGTTTCGGAGTTATACAATTGAGAGAGGGTTATAGCCACAAATAAGTAGCCTCCTCGTCTGTAGTGGCCTTCTCGGCCTTGAGGAGGTGAATTAAAATAAAAATAAAAAAAAATATTGGGTTTTTATTATATGGAACTTTTATTTGAAAATTCCGAAAAAATGAGAGGGTACCAATAATATTTTCTCATATGAATTATATATATGTTAATTTTATGTACCCTAAGAAGTCCTTACGGTCTTATAACAGAGCACCTTGGAAAAGCAATTAACAGTAAATTCACTCCTACTTCCTAACTGATGTCGCAAAACCAAAGGTGTGTTTGAATCACGGATCCCTTATTTTTTTAGGAAAGTGTACTACCACTGCGCCACAGCTGCTTAAATCCAAAAGCTAATTTGTCCCGCTTTTGCTGGATCGTAAGAATTTATAAGAACAATACAACTCCAAAGATTTTTATTTGATTCGTATTGTCACACACACAGATTTCTCAGATGTCGCACTCAATTTCTCTGATTATTTGAAACCACATGATCATAAAATTATAAAAAGATTTAAATTTTTATTTACATTAATTACACGCTACATTATAAAGTTACAAGGACAAAATATTACAATATCTACATCATCAAAAAATGTTCAAATAAAAAACTCATTTGTTCGTAAAAAAAAGCATATCATCAATTAACTCAGATTTAAATCAACTACAACGGTCTGGTGTCATGTGCTTTAAGACTGAAAACAGACGCTCAGCACTGACTTGGGATATGGATAGCGACAAAGCGACACGACAGGCATCCTGTACAACTTCAGGGAACTGCTCAATTAATTTTAATGGGTTAAGTTTTAAAAACTTGTCTAAATTGGATGATTTGTCTTTAAACATTGAATGGATTTCCGGAATTGTTTTTAAAGCTAGTCGAAACACCTTTTCGATGATTACATCTAGTTAAATCTGCATTTATTATTCAAGTTGTGTGAACAGGAGGTTCAAGAAAATCTGAATTTTCTTGAACCTCCTGTTCACACAACTTGAATAAATTTGGTTGACGCTTTGCAACTGGTGAAGCACTTTCCTCATTTTCTGAACTAGAGTCTGACATAAACTGCAAAAGAGTTGCCCTCTACTGCTTTTTTGGTTTTATTGAGTTCATTATTCTTATTTTCATTAGCAAGTTGAATCAGTTTGTAATGTATTTTCCAAAGTTCATCAGCTACAGTTATCTATAGAAGTATTTTACTTTTTGGAATATGTATTTTTTAAAGTTAAATAAATAAATATATATAAATAAAATTTTATTAAAACAACCACCTTATCTTCAATTGCTGTTGGCATACAGCCATGCCTAATATCAACGTAAATTGCTGCAAGAAACAACGAATTTTTGCGTAGCACGCTTTCTCTATTATCCATTCCTTTTGGGCTAAGCCACTGTCCTTCCCGTCAAGTTCACACTTTATTGAAATCTAATCAAAAAGGATTTCGCCTGTGGTGATATTTTCATGTTGAAAACGAATAGTAAGATCGCATGCCATATGCAATACATCTCTCAATTCCTCCCACATACCCCAAAAACATGGTCGCGAATTAAATTCTTTAGGAGCTTCTTTTTGCATATTTAGATTTTGAATTACTGGTCGAATCTAGAAGAACAGAAGAATTCATTAAATACATGTACAACGTTATAAACTACTTAAATAAAGAGGATTATTAAAAAATATTTACATAAACTAACATTTAAAAATTATTAAGTAGTATAAATGTCATTACCATTGAAATAATTGGATTTATATTAAATGGGTTAGAAAACTGGTTTATACACTTTGATTAAAACTTAGAAGTTATAAGTTATAATTTAATTAGCCTTAATTATTCTCTCAACCATATTGAACTGGCTAGATATATGGGTAGCCTGATCTAAAATTGGAATGAGATGTGGAGTCTGGTCCCTGAATAAGTCAATCCACTTCGAATTTCTTGCAGTTTTGACAACATCTCTGGCATGGTAATTAGATTTATTATTGTGGGCCTTTTCAATGCATTATTTACGGCTAGCTGTAAAGTGTAGACCACATCTTTGAAGATGTATAACACTCATGCCTATTGGCAACCCCACTTGCCAAGACTGCTGCCGCATTGTCCGCTTTAGAATAACCATTTTCGTCAAATTTATCATTTTCTATTCAAAAATCGTCTTTGTCATCTACGATTTCCTCAAGGTTGCTGATGCCAAAGTCGTGCACCAACTTTATATTCACCTAAAGATATTAAATATGATTTCAATAGTTAATTTAAAATTTAGTGAATATACCTTACACTATACAAAAGATTTTATCAAAGCAGTTTAATTTTTAAATGATTTTATGGAAAATAATAACTTTAATCACATAATTTTAAGTTTTTTTCATTAACAAAAAATATAGTGAGTTTCAAAATATGTTACTCCCTGCTGTGTTGTCAACACTGAGGCCTAAAATATTAGTTTTATTGATTCCAAACTCATCTAAACACTTCTCAATAATTTTTTTTGTGTATTCCGCCGTTTGTTTTCCCTTCGTATCAATGGTGCAAAGATTGATCACAGCAATCTCACTATTGTTCGAGTATTGGGCATTTATACCGAGGTAGTGACGCATATGCCTTGATGTAGAATCGACTTTCAAATGAATTAGCCTTTTCGATAATTTGTTAGAATTTAATTAGAATTCTCATATTATCTCTATTCATTTTAAATCCAAAATGAGATCAAACTTTTACGCAAAGCTTTTGAATAGGTTCCCAATCAAATGCCTATAGATATTGTTTTTAGAATGATAAATGTTTATTTAAAAATGCCAAAAAAACATATAATTGTTTAGATTTTTTTCATTAAAAAATAATTACTAACGAAAAAATAAATTTAACCTGGAATGAAAGACCTTCAACCAAAACCAGCTGGTTTAAGGCTTCTAAAAACTCATCTTTTGCAATATGAAAACTTATTTGCTGTAGTACAAAATACTTTAATATGGATTGCTGTGAAGTGCTGACTTTGATGGCTGTATATTATTCTTATTTTTTTCTTTTTCTAATTTTTCTTTTTTTTACGTAATGAGGAGCTCTGTATCTTTTCTAGATAAGTGTTGTACAAGGTTGTTAAAGCTAGCTTTTGCAGCACATGTAATTTCTTTACCGCATAACTCGTTACTTTTACTTTTTTCGGGTACAAGATATTTGAAGCATACTACTTTGCATCCATTCAAAATTTTATTTGTACGATGAAAGTGTCTGTAGATCGTATCTGATGCATAGTTAGTGGCCATTACTGGTCAAGATTGTTACACATGAGTTAATAGTAAATATTATTTTAAAGAAAGAATATTGTTATTGCAAGTTATTGTGAACATGTAAAGTATTTTTTTTGTTTTATATATGCTTCACAAAGTTAGTCTTTTGTAAAACAACTCACAAAAACATAGTTAGGAAATCTGTTTCAATGACTAGTTATGAATCGATGACGTTAGTAGTTTTTCTGTGAAAGAAATTGCTGCGCAAAATAATTTTTATTTATTTGTTGAGGTATTTTTGAGCTTTTTTTGGCTTCTTTCTGACCTAGATGGTATGTTTTTTGCCAATTGTCTAGTTCGTTAACTTGATTTTATAGCACAAACTCACAGATAATTTGATTTTTTGTTGCATATAATTAATTTGTTAGTGAAATTTGATAGTTTTTTGAATCTAAACCATATTGCTTTCATTGCAATTTTTTTTAGGTGTAATTAAATAAAATTTTGATTTTTTTAGCAGAGTCGACTGAAAGCCAATGTACATAATTATACTATCTCACTCCATTTTGGGTTAAAATTAAAAGAAATAAAAAGATTTTTTTTTCTAATAGTAGTCACAAGCTTCATTTATTTATAAGTATAGTTTCCTACTATAGTTTACAGTTTTAAACAGTGCTTAAACAAAGCAAAAAATATATCGACAATTTTTTTTAAAGAACTTGATAAAGGTTATGAGCAGTAAAAAAATATTTTGGTAAAATATTTGTCTACTGCTCATAACCTAGTTAATCATTTCTAATCAACTTTCTTTCTATGATCAATCTTAAAAGTTAAACAAAAAAACTTATGCATACTTAATCAACTTCAACACTAAAATATCATTTAGTTCTAAATTTGATAAATATTAAAAAAAAATTAAACAATTAAGCTCTCAAACATATCTTTATCTGCAGGTCTAACCAGTGGCGATTTTGTGAATAAAATAAGGAGGATTAATTTATTCAAAAGTCAAATGTTAACTTCCTCTTTTTCTAGGAAAATTGTCCCTGGGTCTCGAAATTTGATGATGAGGAAATACTTAAATAAACAGTTAATCATAAGTACTTTCTTAATAGGATAAAAAAATTAATTGTTTCAAAACTATAAATAAATAAACAAAAATCCTTACATATAAAATGAACATAATTTGCGAATAAAAGTTTATTAACTTAAGAAATATAAAACTTAGCATTAAATATGATGAAATTTTTTAACTTGAAAACTTTTATTTTCTTTAATTAATTTTAACAAAAAAAAATTTATTAAACAAACTGTTTCTTTAACAAAAAATGTATTAGATCACAATTGCGGTTAAATGCTTTTACTTAAAACATTTTTTTTGAGTAAACGTCGCATAAACGATATCAAAATAAAAATTAAATATTTTAAAAGATAAAAGTTTTCTCTTAACGTTAAACTGCTGAATGCATAGGCATATGGCCTTTTCGCACGTAAAATGCAAGCTTGGTAACACCTCTTAACAAGGTGTAACATTCGAACTGATACTCAATCTGAGTATTGGTTCAAATTAGTAAGGAAGATGAGCTTTCTGGTTTAATGCTCTTTTGCAGTGTTTTGTGACAAGACTATCAGTATTTCTTAAGCATTAATAACTACAAAAATTATAAAATTAATAATTATAAAAAAATATATATATTAATAATTATAAATAAAAAAAAAAAAGTCCTAGAGTCCTAAAATTTTTATAAAATCCCAAGACTACGGACTCCAGGCTAAAATAGGGACTCCGTGGACTCCGGACTCTGACTCCGAACTTCACATCCCTGATCTTTATTGTTAAAATTGAAATGAAAAATTTTGTATTTTTATGTATTATAATTTAATCAACCACTTTAAGACATTTTTTTTTATTTTTAATATTGTAATAAATTATTATTAGTTTTTTTTTTAGACCATCTGAAACTGATAAAAAACTTGAGGCTGACCAACAAATAAACATTATTGGTAATTTACCTAATACTTGCTTGTGGGTTGTTCTATGGAAAAATGAATTGTTTTGCGTTGACAAAATCAGGTTGTATTTCATTAAAATCATCTTATTATCTTTATTATCCTATACATTACTGAAGTGCAATAAATATCTAATATTGAATTATATCATTTAATATATATATATATATATATATATATATATATATATATATATATATATATATATATATATATATATATATATATATATATGTATATATTAGGGTAGGTCGATTTTAATTCCGCATATTGCGTAATATTGCAGTAGTTGTAGACAGTTAAAATACGATTACTCTCAAAATTTGAGAGATTTTGGATAAAGAATCGCTTGCGGATTTAATTTTTAAGATTTGTTGGATTATGTAAAAAAACACCTTAAAAAGCGTTATATGCAAAACTTGACGTTTTAACTAAGTTCATATTTAAATGTTTTTCAATACTATTTGCTTTGCTGTATGATTTAAGTTTATAACAGTTTATAACAATTAAGCTAAATTTATAACAACTTGTTAACTATTTGAAGATTTAAATAGTGAAACTTTTATTCTTATATTTACATAAGAATATCAAAATAAACATTATTTTCACAATTTAAAAACATTTTGGCTATGGATATATATATTTTAGGAAAACATTTTCAATTAAAAAATATCATCATAAGAATGGGAATAATGCCCTTTTGAAATATACGGTTTACGCATCTTCCTGCTAAGTAGTTTAGTTAAAATGCAGCTGTGTCGATTCTCGAATCCATAAACATATTGGGATGCGTCCGACACAAGTTTTACCGCTCGCTCAACACTCTGGGAGTGAGATGGAAAGTCGGGGATTTCAGGTTTAACATTATTGTCAATCGCATATTGGATTTGCTCAATTGAAAAATGTTGTGTTGTTGGGGGCTCCGTAAATTTAGTAATGCTGATATCAACCAACTCATACCAATGATTAGCATTAGAATTAATTTCTGGAATTTTTTTCAAATTTACTTCCAAACTTTCGATGTTTACTCTATAAATATAAATCAAATCCAATTACCACATTTAATGTATCATTTTTTTTTCAAAACTTTATTTTAGTTTACTATAAAAAAATACCTTCGCCTTAGACCCAGTAGGATTTGAAAACCTAAGTTTCGTATCTTGCTGTCATTATCTTTTAACATGGCATAAAGAATATTTTCAGGTTTTAGGCACAATGCATTGTTTTTAATGTTTTTTTTTAACAATATATTTAACATCATCAAAGGGGAGATTATTTATTCTAGTGATAGTAGAAAAAATAAAGCGCGGGGATTCGTGAAATTTTGAAGATTTTTTTATATCGAACCACGCTGGAGCGTAAACCTGAACTATAAAACATACGAGTTTTTTTAAAGAAACAGTTGATTGATTGTCTCTAGTATACAAGCAGAGAAGGCGAATAGCTATATTTACCTTGCGTGTAACCACCTTGCGTGGTTAAGCGGTCCAATTTTATAGGCGGCCCATTTATCAGAAACTTTACCAAAAGCCTATTCCTTTGCAATATTCAAATAAAAGTCTTTGATCGCAACTAAGGTCTACTAGTATTTCTTTTGGAATATATCCATCTACAATTGGGTTTTCAATACGATTAAACAAAACTTGATTTTTATCCTGAATATTTTCAGCACATCTTTTGCCAAGTAGACCACTAAAGCTTCTTGGCCCAGTTGTGTCACCATCAAGTTTTACAAAAAGAGCTCGTAACGGAAGTTCATTTTGATGTAATGCGCATTCAATTAGATGTAGTTTTCTTTTTAAAAACTCCTCTAGTTTTACCACTAAGCCACTTATTGGTCCAGTATTGGCAGCAGTATTATCAAGAAGAACAGCTTGTATACTTTCCAAACTGTTATGTTCTTGTAAAACACTAAACGTTTCGGTAGCAAGAACTAAACCTGTAGCACCGGTGACAGGAATCGTCCTATGAGTCAAATAATTTCCACTCGATTTTCCATCTACATAAGTAAATGTGAGGTGATGTTCAAGTTCAATGCATTTCTTTAGTACTTCTCCTTGAGGTAAGTTTATTACTATACTTGTTTTAGTTATTTGATCGAGCTTGCTGTCAACCCCAAGACAAATTAACTGTTTTGTTTTGTTCTGAGTCCACCTCTTCACTAACAATTTTTACTTTTGACTTGGCCCTATCTAACTTGCATTTGTCAATCAAAATATCTTTAATATCAACGTCATTTTTCAAGAAATGTTTTATGTCATGTAGTAAAGCATTTGCAAGGGCTGCACCTACGTTTGACGAACACTCATTTCTGACTAATTCCATTGCAAATCTTGGAAGTTTAACTAAGTTGTATTTTCCAATAGGATTATTTACTGGTTTCCATTCACCTTCACCCTAAAAAGAGTTAATAAAATAAAACGCTTTCTGTTTCATCTGTTACAAATATTTCATGTATTTATAAAATATTTACCTCCGTATTGGTCAAACCACTTGTTTCTTCAATTAAGTTTACTTGTGCTATGAGGGATTCATCTTCATTAACTAGCTTATGAGATATTTTTTGTCGTTCTTTATCAAGTCTTTGAATCCTTTTGACAGATAATCTATCGACGGAAGAAAGTTGATATGCACCTTTTGGACCAATTTTTTTCCTCTGATCACGAAGATAAGCTCTGTCTTCCAGAGGCACTTTATTACTTTGAGAACAAAGGCATACAATATGTTCTTCGATGCAATTTTATTTATTACATGAAACTTTTCTGTCACTACAGGGAAACACATCTAATGAACAGGAATACGCAGAAATATCAAAAAGTTTGTCCAAGTTTGCATCAAGATTTCTTTTAGCGCTTGCTTTTCCGTGCTTGCGATTAATATCCTTAACAAGTACGAGAAGATCTTTAACTTTCCTATTAATAGATTTGTCAGTTTTAAGAGGTAATCTTGGGTTTACTGTAGCCCAAATTGATTTTATATTATTGCTAATTTGCTGAGTCACTAATAAGATATCTGCATTTGGATTTATATGAATAAGATAGTAATAATACTGAATACCCTGTCTAAAAGTGCTTGGATCTGTCGTTGATAGTTCACATGGGCCACCACAATTTTTTTTTTCACTTTTCATCCGTGTAATTGCAACCTTTACTTTCGGCATTTTTGTAAATTAATTATATATGTAAACTGTATTAAAGTATTACACTTAGAGTAATGGGCAACAGCGTGAGTTTTTAGTGGGGGCCTATGCATCAAAAAAACCTAAAATATTAAAACTTACTATTAAAAACCTGCTTTGATAAAAATAAAGAAATAAAACTTTTTTGAAAAGATTTGGGGGCCATGAATTCAGGAAACTCAGGAATTGAGTAAAACCATTAGTTCCATCGAAAAGTTTTATATTTTAATCTACTTCAGAAATTGCAAATCAAAAGTTATGTAATATAAACAGTTTAAAACATTACTCTAGATATAATAACCATAAGTATTTACCTTTGATATTAAAAGATTTCTTTAAACTGCAGTTTTATTTTTGAACCTACTTTTTAATAAATTTAACCTTAAAACTAACTTTAAAATACAAACAAGAAATATAAATACAAAAAAGATTTGCTAAGTTTAAATGCGTGTAAACGATTTAGCGAAACTTTATTGGCTTCTTAAAACAATTGCGCTTGTTTATTGGTTACTTTATATACTCAAAACGAGATATTTTAAAACGAGATTACTAGACTTAAAATAAAATTTTGCAACGTTTGAAATAAACAATCTAACAAAACTAGTCCAAAATTAAGACTTAAAATGCAAATCCGCAAGCCATTTTTAAACCAGGATACTTGAGATTTGGTAAAACCTCATTTCTAACCAAGACACAGTTACTGCAACATTACGCAACTCAAAATTCAAAAAAAAAGCTAAAATCGACCTACCCTAGTATATATATATATATATGTATATATATATATATATATGTATATATATATATATGTGTATATATATATATATATATATATATATATATATATATATATATACATATATATATATATATATATATATATATATATATATATATATATATATATATATATATATATATATATATATGTATATATATGTATATATATAGCTTTCAAATTCTTTAAGATAACAAGATGTTTCACATCTTTAAGATAACAAGACATGTTATGAAAAATCTACTTTATAATCATACAATATGATAAAAATTAACTTTGTTTTAAAATTTAATAATGTGTACAAAAAAAAGCAGGATAGTTAAACTTGGAACAAATGTCAAAATGGTTTTTTTTTTGAAATTTACTTTTCTGTCAACTTTGTTGACAGAGAAGTTAATTTATTAAAAATATCATTTATTTCTAAATTTGATAATATTTATCAAATTTAGAAATAAATGATATTTTTATGATTTTTAAAATGTTTTTGCTGCTCAAACAACATTTTAAAATTCATAAAAAGTCACAAGAAAAAAATTAATTCAAAAAACTTGATTTAAAATTTCCCTTGCAATTGCAAACAAAAACAAATCTGCCCACTTAATAAATATTGTAGAGTGACAAACATAATTTACAAATGTATAATAATCCTCCCCCAAACACACCCAGCAAAACATACATTGGTTTATAAAAGGGCTTGTGAAAATAGAGATATGAAAATCATAAGCATTCATTTACAAGTAAAATCTTTCAAATGCAACCACTCTCTCAAAATATATATAGGAAACAAAGGAAAAATTGAAAGAAATACCATAATTAACTTGGTCTATCCTAAAAAGAGCCCCTGCTTACAACAACACACAAAAAAAAATGTTTACTTTGTTTATATGAAAAACTAATAATTTTACTTTATAAAAATGCTGAAGAGCTACTTAATAAAAAAAAAAAGTGAATTTCCAAATGTCGTCACGAAAATAAATTTCTATTAAGCAACCACAAACCTTTACATTTAAAACAATAGTTTTAAATGTAAAGGTTTTCTATGTATAGTTGTAAGTAACTAGTTCCAATATATATATATATATATATATATATATATATATATATATAT